CTCTTTGCCTTGGTTTCCTCATCTGTAAAGTGAAAGGGTTGGCCACTGGAGTCTCTTCCAGCTGCAGACCCTGAAGCTGGAGGCTCCTTCGGCTCCCCGGACCACCAACCAACACAGACCTCACTACTTTCCTCCCCCCACAGCAAGGACAAGGAAGGGGGGCGGGCAGGGAGGAATTGTGGTCTTTCGTCCAAACTATTTTCAGATACCAGCCATATGACCCTGGATAAGTCATTTAACCACCGTGCCTCAGTTTAATCATCTATAAAGTGAAAGGATTAGAATCAGTGTTCCCTTTCAGTTCTGAAATGATGTTTCTATCACTCTGTGGAATCTATCCACAGGGGCAGGCACCATTTTGTTTTTTTCTCGCTAGTGCCTGAGAAGCAGCGTGGTGCCATCTCTATGGTAGACTGAATAGAGAGCGTTGGCCTGGGTTGCAGTCCTGCCTCTGGCACGTACACTGGCTGGGCGATCCAAGATGAGACCTTGGCCTTTCAGCATCCCCGAGAAGGTGTGATTTTGCATCAGTACAGGGAGCTTCCTTGCCAGAAATTCTCTACCCCAAGAAATCCCAGGTTCAGTCCAAAAAATGACAGAACAAACAAACAAAACCTAGAGCCTTGCCCTCAGGAGGGATTTGATGAATGTTTGCTGGAAAACAGACAAGTATGACAACAGAAACAGTCCAAGCAGAATGCTGCAAGAGCCAAACCACCCAGCGTGGCTGCAACAGAAACATGAGAAGGTGCCCTCCCCTGGCCGCCATCTTGGCTTCTTTGGGGTTGGGGGGAGGAAGTCAGGCTTCTTTTGGCTTAGTTTTTGTGGATCCCCCCCGCCATTTTTCATTCTTTGTCATATGAGACATCCTAGGGATGGCAGCGAAACAGTAGGAAATGAAGGCCACCCAACAGCAAAGTGCAGTCACTGAGAGTCTTTTTCAGAAAATGTTTGTGGAGGTCAACCGAATAAAGCCCATGCCCCAGATCCAGGGGGCAGCTCAGCAGGCTAGCATCAATGAGGCCTTGGGGGCCAAGAGGCTGGAGTGAGTGAGGGGCCACTCTGGCTGCCTCTGCCCCAGCCACCCCCCCCCCCAGGGGCCTTGTGTGGAACTAGGCGGTGTGGACCAGGGGTAGGGCCTCGGGCAGCAAAGGGATGGAGTCACCTGGCCAGGAGAGAGGAGGCTGTGGGGCCTACAAAGGGAGGGGGTGGGTGAGAGAGAGAGAGAGTGTGTGTGTGTGGTGTGTGTAGTGGGGAGGATGACACCTGCCTTCCATTACCTGAAGAGCCCTCACTGGAAAGAGTGTGTGGGTATGTGGGCCCAGAAGGAAGAGCCGCCCAGTGACCGGGCACCAGGGCCCCGATTTTCCAGGAGCTGTCAGGAAAACTGAACAATTGGTGTGGTGGCCCCCAAGAGGAGGGTCGGGGGTCCTCCTCCCTGAAGGCTTCTTTTCAGGTAGAAGCTGGGGGAGCCCTTGTCCAGGCTCCTGTGGATGGGATGAAGCCCCTTCCAGCTGGGAGAAAGACCCACCACCCTCGGGCACACAGCTTTCTCTTCCTAACCTCCCTCACTCCCCCTGCCTGGACAGACAGACTGAAGCCTCTAAGAAGTTAGGCACCTCTGTGGTTCAGTGGTTAGAGTGCCAGACTTGGAATCAGGAAGAACAGAGTTCAAATCCTGCCTTAGACACTTAGTGTGACTAGCTATGAGATCACAACCATAAAGGGTGTACAGCATACAGCGTTAAATAAATGCGCACTGTTATTATTGCCTCATTTAATCTTCCTACCAACCCTGGGAGATCTTTTTATTCCCATTTTATAGATGAAGAAACTGAGACAGAGATTGCTCCCCCACTACTTTGGCCTCCAGAAAAGGAAAGCTGGTCTTTTCACAGAGACCTTGGAATACAGAGGGGCTTGCACACGTCTTGGGAATGCTCAGAGCCCAGAAGTCACACCCTCTTGGACCCAGAACTGGGAAAGACTTCAGAGACCAACCAGCTGGATCCTCTCATTTTACAGGTGAGGAAACTGAGGAACAGAGGTAAAGTCACTTGGCCAAGATCATACAGCAGAGCCACCAGGATGGGAAGCCAAGCACAAACAATGTGTCACCCGATTGGAGGCGTAGCCGGAGCATAGCAGAGGAAAAAGTCAGTAAGGGAAGGAGACACCTTGGTTCACCTCCTTAGGAGTTTGGGTTTTAGGCAGCGGGATCAGAAGCCACTGAAGAGTTTTTGGCCAGGAAGTAACAGGACTAGGGTCACACCCTATAAAAATTAGTATATTAGGTAGTGGCTTGTGGGATGAGTAGAAAAGAGAGAAACTGAGGCTGGGCTACTGAAAAAGCCCCAGGGAAAAGTATGAGGGGCCAAAGATTTGGTGACAGCAAAGGGAATGGAAAGGAAGGCAGACTGTAGTAGGTCTGGCTGTGGGTGGTGCAGCCCCGGGGACTCCTGGAGATGGGCCCTGCAAGGCTTTAGGAGAAGGGGCAGCTGGGGACAAGAAGAGCAAGATTCGTTCTACTCTCTCCTCTCCTGCCAGGTGGAAGAGGAATCAGCAGGCAGGCTGGAGTGCCCTGCCCACGGCTGGGAAGTCTACATGGCAAGATGGCCCCAAGTGACCTGAGGACAGCAGCGTTTGTGAGTCTCACGCCTTTAGGATTGCCAGTAAGAATCAGACTCACAATTTATCAACATCATTTGGATAGATGTCCATGTTTGTAATGAGCTGGAAGTTGTCCCTAATCCCCTGTACTTGCTCATGAAGTCAATGACCACCTAGGCACAGTCCTGGAGGGAGATCATCCATGAATTCCGTGGGGCTCAGCCCATCAGGACCCCTGCCGAGAAAGCCAAGGGAAGAGAGCTTTGTGCACAAGGGAGACGCAAAAATGTGCTGGTCAGTGTTTAACAACTGGCTCTCCGGGGAAAACGTATTCATAGCACACTTAAGTTTAGCCCACCTTATCAGCGTTTTCTCTATCCCTTTTTAAAAGTTTAGACAAATGATAAACCAAGCTCTGATTTGTAGAGTTCGTTGATTTCCAAGGTGCAAATCTCTTACTGAAAATTTAACAATTGGCTCTCTTAAGCTGGTGCAAGCTGGGGAGGAAGGGAGGGACAGAGCCACAGCAAAAGAGAGAGACAGAAAGAGACAGAGACAGAGAGGCAGAGAAGAGACACCAACACTAAGCTCTTTAGCACCCGCCGGGCACTGTGTTTGGACAGACTTGCCTCACTCTGATGTCGGTAATAATTTTTAGGGCAGACAAAGGCAGGCGCCGTCTAACAACCCTTCTTCAAGAGGCAGGAGGAACAGGCAGCCAGCAAGGCTGTGACTTTGAACTTGGAGAAGTCAGGATAAAAGTCTGAAGCCTTCTCCGGTTCCTTCTGTCTCTGGGCTCCAGAGGCGGTCAGGGCCCAGAAGCACAGGCCACCAAGAGTGGTCCATCCCATCATTCTGCAGATCAGTGAGGCCGTGAGCTCGCCCTCTGAGCCAGGAGGAAGCTGCTGCTGGCCACTCTATGAACTTTCACAAGCCAAGCAAACAACAAAGCCCTGGCCCAGATGCGAGCGGCACCCTGGTATCGAAGCCCTTGGTGACGTCCCTCTGGCCTCCGGGGGTGTTCTGAGGCTGATGATGGGAGCTCACGTTTGCAAAGGGCTTTGGGGATGGGCTCACAAAACCCCTCCTGCCCAAAATGATCTCATTTGACTATTGGGTGAGGCCGATGCTACGCCTTCTTTGGAATGTCCCCAGAACTGTCCAGAATGCCATCATCCTCCCGGCCCCCAGGGTTCACGGCTGTGGCTTCATCGGAGACTCCTAACACATCCAGTTGATTGCCCGAGCTTGTCATCTCTGCTTTCCCAGCCCTCCACACGTGTCCCCTTCTCTCTGCTCACACAGCCCCCACCCCGCTAGTTCAGGCCCTCGTCACCTCCCTCTGGACTATTTCAAGTCTCCTAACCAATGTCCCTGCCTTGGGTCTCTCCTCCCTCCAGTCCATCCTCCACTCAGCCTCCAAAGTGATCTTACTAATAAGCAGAGGTCTGACCAGGGCTCCATAATCTCTCGTGAGCTCCCTAGGATCAAATACAAATGCTTTCTTGGCATTGAAAGCTCTTTACAACCCGGCGCTTCCAACCTCTTCAGTCTTCTCAGGGGTCACTCCTTTGCACACCCCTATGAGCTCGCTGCCCTGGCTTATTGCTGCCCCTCACACATGGCCTCCCATCTCCTATTGCGTGGGCACGGAATGCTCTCTCTCCTTCATCCCACCTCTCAGAATCCCTGGCTTCCTTACTGACTTAACTGAAAGACTACCTGCCTGGCCTCTCCTGGTCCCCTCTCCTCCCTTCTCCCACACCAAGGTCCCCTTCCATTTACTCAGCATGTACAGGGCTGTGTCCGCCATATTGGGATATGAGCTCCTGGACAGCAGAGGCTGGCTCTACTTTTTCTTTCTATCTTCAGTACCTAGCACATAGTTAAGTGAATAATAAATGCTTGGTGATTAAGTATCTGAGAGAGGATTTGAACTCAGGTCTTCTACCTAAGGAGTGGTACAGTGGATAGAGCACTGGGCCTGGAATCAGGAAGACCTGGGTTCAAATCCAGATTCAGACACTAGCTGTGTGACCCAGGGCAAGTCACTTACTCCTGTTTGCCTCAGTTTTCTCATCTGTAAAGTGGGCTGGAGAAGGCAATGGCAAACCACTCCAGTCTCTTTGCCTAGAAAACCCCAAATGGGGTCACAGAGTCAGGCATGACTAAAAAACATCGGAACAACAGCTGAAACTTCCACTGGCACAGAGTCTAGAACACAGGAGGTAGTCACAAACGCTCCTGCTTGAGCGATCGGTGGAAACCAAGTCTGGCTCTGCCAAACAGCCTCTGTCGCTCACACCTCTGTGTCCCAAACAAGAAAATCCTTCCCCATATCTGGGATTGAGAGGGAGATTCCTCCTCTCCCCGCTGCTGCTGGACCCTACCTTGGGAGAAGTGAAGGTGCATTTGAGTTTCCGGGGCACTCTCTCGTGGGTCATTTCTGTCCATTCGGTGAACAAGTCATCGCGATAAGCCAAGGAGACGTCAAGGGAGACTTCTGCGTTCTCTTCTGCAAGAAAAACGGGTTTGATCACTTAATTCAATTCAGTAAACATTATTAAGTGCCTACTATGTGCCAGGTACTGTGCTGAGCACCTGACCTACAGAAAGTCTCCCAAGTGGTTAAAGAATCTGACAGCGTCCAAAGGGGAACGAAGAAAGGAGGAGGAAACATGATATTCACAACACTAGAAATTCATGGAATGTCTGAAGCTTCCAGTCAGATCAGCCATCCCTGCCTCAGGCTCTCGCTGGTTAATACACCCACTACCACCTCTGTCTTCAGAATTTCTCACATTTACTTGTGTGTAAATTATCTGAGTGACAGCCTGGTATAGTTGAGAAAGAGAGGAAGAGGGGGAAGGGAAAGGGGAGGGAGAGAGAGAAAAGACAGAAAGAGAAAAGACAAGGAGGGAAAGAAAGGGAGGAAGAGAGAGAGAGAGAAGAAAGAGAAAGAGACAGAGAGGAGAGAGAAGAGAGAGGGGGAAAGGGAGGGAAAGAGGGCGGAGAGATAGAGAAAGAAAAGAGAAGAGAGAGAAGAAAGGGAAGGAGGGAGAGAGGGAAAGAGAGGGAGAGAGGGAAGGACAGAGGGAGAGGGAAAGAGAGAGGGAGAGGGAAAGAGAGAAAGAGAGAGAGAGAGAGGAGAGAGAAGAGAGACAGGGAAAGGGAGGGAAAGAGGGAGGAGAGATAGACAG